CTGAATTGCACAAAACGCATGATCGCACCGGCTAGCCTGGTGCGCGTTGCCATTTATTTTTTCTTTTTTTGAGCCTTGACAGTTTGGATCCGAACTAAATCGACCCATTAATTCGCGCAAGTTTATACAGTAACGTTTTGTTTCACTGACTTTTTTGAAATCGGCGAATAGAAAAAATAGAGAAATCTTATGTTCTCCGTTTTCCTCTACAAACTGTGCTACTGTGAAAATGTAGCTGATAGAGGAAAATTGCTTTCTTTTTTTCCCCTTCGTGAGCTTTCACCGAGAATTACTTCGAATTGTGCTTAAATTACGGCCATAAAAGTTACATACGTATGTGACAATACGCATTGTTGGGCCTTAGTTGCACATGCTTTGGCAGTTTCTTCGATATCAGCACCGTTTTCTGGTCCTATCGTTCTGTAAATAGCTTCTCACATTCGGGGTGTCCTTTCAGTTGATGCTTTGAAAGCAGTTGATTAAATTGCTAAAAAGGCACTAATTTTTGAAAAAAAGGACTACATAAAAAATCTTCTGGACAGAGGAGCAAAATGTGGTTACCGCAATATCAAAGTTTGCTGAGAATTCCTAAACTTTACTAAAAATCGAAACAACATAAGTCCCGAATGATTGCCACACATCAAGCTTTAAGACTATGAAATTAAAAGTTAGATTGCACGCCATTTTCAGTAGGGTCTGCCGTAACAGGAATGTGCATCTTTTCTTTGTCGGAAACTAACCATGCACTCAGTCTCTGGTAAGTGTAGATCTATAGGAATGTTTAATATGGTTGCAGGAGATTATGTGAAAAATGTGTATGATGTAACTGTTGGCTATTCGGATGGAATTGTGAGCTCAGAGTTGGAGATCCTTCTGAAGGGACGCTTCCCGCACAGTGTGCACTTTGATATCAAATGGTACAAGGAGAATGAACTTCCCAGTGATGAACATGAATTGGCAATCTGGCTAACAAAGCTCTGGAATGATAAAGAACATCGGCTGGAAAAGTTTTATAAAGCAGACATCACCGAACGAATGTTTTTGCCAAGTGGCAAGAAGCATGTTTGGCCGGTTAGCACTCGTCCATTTCATCCGTTAATACAAATGAAGTCCGCGTTTTTTCAGGCAAAAATAAAAATTGTGGGCTGTAGATCTGCATGGAGGTGTGCAAATAACTGCACTGTTCTTTCAGTCAAAAAAAGGAAATAGAATCTTTTTCTCTCGGCAAAAATGGAAATTTGACAGCGCTGGCGGGCATGGCGGTGTGGTATTTAGCTTCGCTTTTATAATATATATTAAGGAATCACTTTATATCCCTCTGTGATTGATTGATTCGTTTTGGCCCATGCCAGCGGAATATTCATCAGCTTGACTGTGGCTTTGCTGCCAGAGTACTGCTGTCTTGTACGTGCTACAACTCAGGTTCTCTGTGCTTCCGCCTCTCGTAGCGGGATTGGACTTTGACTTAAGAGATATAGAATTGTTTAGGAGCTAACGTGAAGATTGTTCTGAATGCTTTTATTAAAGCCCGTTGGTACATGCTTGAAGATATGTGAAGCAACAGAGGATGAGGAATTT